TCACTTTTTTGTCTAAATATTTTCAAAATTGTATAGAAATTTATGGGACACAGAATTAAAAGTCTAATGACTTATTAGGCACTTCTAAATTTTAAGAAATTATTAAACGATTTATTAGACACTCTGGAAGACATATTATGCACAATTTTCAAACTTCAGACCAAACTTATAACTAAATCAATGTATTTCTTTCACTAATACTCCGATCAATAAATATCTAATTTGGTTATATAAATTCTATACCGTCCATTTACTTTAGGTTAAAACTACAACAATTTTGGTATGTAAACCAAATTTGGATCTATTTGATTAATTTTTCTGTATTTGAAAAAATATATTACGAGTATCGATAAAACTGGTAATTTATGGGTTTTAGAGTCCGTAAGAATCACGAATTGGTCCAGTGGAAGGGCATTGAATTATGGGGTTTCCAACTCCCAAATGCAATAATTAAACACAAACATAATCATTAATTTGAAAATGGCAGTTTTCTTTTTCTTTTCTGTTTTATTATCTCAATGCATTTGTCTCTCATAACCTCTTTCCTTAATTATTTATTCAATTTCAACAACCACACTGTTTTGCTTTCTAAATCCCACTCCACACCCCATGCTATTATTATTATTTTTTTTTATGTACTCCCAAATCAACCCATTTATAGTTTTTTTCATTTTATTCCAAGTATTTTTTAAATTTTCTGTTTTTTTCCCTATATTACTGAACAGTAACTATTTTTGTCTATTTATTTTCATTTTTGTCTCATTTTTTCTATTACAATTTAGAATTACACACTCCAATCATATGAAAATCCTTTAACGGAGGAGGTCCCCACCCCGTTTAATATTTTATTAATTAAATAAAATATATATATATATATCGGGGTGGGAAAAAAATCCCCAACGGGACGGGGTGAGGATGGCGCTCAGACTCTGCCCCATTTCATTACCAACACCCTTTGTGAGATCTAAGTTAACATGCAGTTAGGCACCATTACTCAATTTCTACTTCATCCGACTAAAATAGTATTTAAATTGTTGTAAAACCATACAAAAATAAACACAATTATATATGTGTGAGAGAGAGAGAGAGAGAGAGAGAGAGAGAGAGAGATTGTCCTATATATTTATCTTCCACTAGTTAAGTAATAGTTCAAATTTCAGTGCTTTTTTAGATGCATTCTCTCTCTCAAAGCTTCCATTCTTCTATTCTATTCCCATTCCCACCCATTCCCTAATTCAAACTTCCATGGAAGATTCCTTTCTCCCTCTTATTATTATTTTTTCTTTTTTTTTTTAATTGGGTGTAATGTAGTGGGATTTAAAATTAAACATAAAAATAAAAAGCCAACCCCAATATCGTTACATTCATTTTAGTACCTAAATTACAGAAACACCCCTCACTCTTATCAAATATTTATACTCTAATTCCATGTCCCCACACCTCAATCTCCTAAATCATTTCAGGTAGAGACTAGAGAGAGACAATTGTATTAGAATGAGAAGCATGAATGTTGTATAGTATTGTCAAGGTTAAGAAGATTGTTCAAAAGATGACTTCAAAAAGGCTTCATTTATATTTTAACCACATAAACAAATTCATGATAATAATTTCTTTAACTAATATAAGCACAACTAATTTTGAAGTTAAAAGAGATTGTATTTAAAAACAAATCATGGGTTTTCATTCTTTGTGAGTACGAGGATATTTTTTATATATAAATGTTTAAATACAGTTACTTCTAACGATTACGATTTATTTTAGTTCTTATACTTTCAAAACATTTATTTTGATACATATATTTTATACATACTGAAAATCCTTTAATATAAATTTATGGTTACATTTCTAGAAATTTAGTTGGTGAAATGTCATGTTAAAATTATGATTGAGATAAAAATTAAATTGAAGGGACCAAAATAGTCATTTCTAAAAAATACAAGACCAAAATAGATGTTGATGCAAGAATTGGATTTTGATTCCAACGTTTAATGCTACGAAACACAAGAAATCTTCACTCTAATTTGATGCTAAATCAAACACGTTCTTGATACCTAAGTCAAATGAATGGTTCAATTGAGAGTACAAAAAGTAGAGTTGTCAAACGTATAGTTGACGTCTCACGCCTCTTATTTTTATAGAGTGAGTCTCCATATATTGTCTTGGATGAGCTAATCCAACCGGATCGGATTCACTCGATTAGTCGAGTCTAGTTGTGTGGTTCAGTTTAGTCGATTCACTTCTTTAATTCATCTCACTTCAAGTGACTTAATACGGTCATTTCGATCCTAACATATATTTCGAAATTACGTGGATCAAAATAAACCAAATATAAAATATATACTTGCGAGAAATGGCCAGCGATTTGAGACATAAATGCGAAATTAAAGTGTTTGTCCACAACTCAGTTGACCTATTTTGTTTCAAATTCAATTCTCTGTCTCATGCTCAAATTCCAAGAACCACGCAATACATTTCACCCCACATTAAAATCAAAAGACAAAAAGAAATAAAATAAAAAGTTCCAAACATTTTTTTAAAATAAAGCATGGTTTTTATTTTTTATTTTCCTTTTTTGGGACCAATGACATGTCGGCTAGATTGATTTTAAAATCCTTACCATAAGTAATAATATTTTATGTGTCACACCTTATCCAGAGATTATTTAAGAATTTTCACTAATTGCATTAAGAGCTTATGGTCCAAAGTATTTCGACATATTTTAGTGTTCAAACGTTCTAATTCAGTAGAAAACAAATTTTGTTACCAAACTAAAATCATATTCAAACCTTAAAAGAAAATTAAATTTGGGCCATGAAAGAAAATATATAATAAATCTATATATTTTATTTTAAATTATGATATGTTTTTGCTATAATTATTCTCTGTGTCCACCCAAATAGACACATGCATGTAGTTTATAATTTATATAGACAAAAGCAGACCATATAGCACCTTTATATAATATAGTATTTAT